TGATTTCACAGCACTTATCCTGAAGTGCCAAAACTTGTCTATATGTGAGGAAAAGGAAATAGTCATTAATCTTCCTTATGTCATAAATATCTTTTAGACTAGCAACGTTAAAATAAGCAGAAATAGACAGCCCTGTTTTCATACATAGAAGCAACAGAAGAATACCCTCCCTGAGGCTGCCAAGAAAGAGCTGGACTATTGAATGTACTGTGTATGGAGTACTGAGATCCAGGCACATAGATCCCATGACTCCTCCAGGCATTGGGGCACCTGAGTAACCAGTAATTCGCAGATGATTCAGGTAGATTAGCATCACATTTTTCAACCTCAGGAAAAAATCAGCAGGAAATTGGAAGAAAGCTGAGAACCAGAAATTTTCTTGTGGTCACAGTGTCTGCATTAAGTTTTTATAAATTTTATTTATGCATTTTTTACCAATGATCACTAAAGTAAATAAAAGAACTAATGAAGATTTGCAAAGGATGTCACAGTACTAGATGACTACACAATAACAGAGAAGATGAAATTCAGTGTAGAGAAATGCAAAGGGAGTTGCTTTGTGAGGAAAAAAAAATGCAGCATTACATATATATATGACAGATCTCAGCAGACTAGTACTAATCAGGAGTAAGATTCTGGGATCACCATATAAACTTTTGGTGAAAATTGCAGTTTAATGTCTAGCACCATCTCAGAAGAAACACTGTCAGGAATTAATAGATGTGGAAATGGAGTACTGTTGTGGTTTTGCCCAGTCGGCCAGCCCCTGGGGCTAAGAATGGTTTTGCCCAGGTGAATTTCCGGACAAGAAGCCAATTAAAACTCTCAGTAACGCCTTTGCTAATTACATATTTAATAAAACAGAAGAGAAGGGGATTGCACAGTTGAAATTAGGGGCAGCAGCCATGTAGAAGAGCAGCGGGCCCGAGGAGGGCCAGGCCCCTTCCTCCCCCAGCCCTAGGCCAGGGGCAAGTGTAGCACTGAAGCCCCCTCTTCTCTCCTGTAAGAAAGTGAAGAAAAAAATGTTTAAAAGATGAATTGCTTGGACAGAAACTGCAGCAGAAGAAATTCCAGCAAAGAGATAATGGAGTGTCCAAGGTCCAAACTGGCAGCCGGAGGAGAGAGAAGAACTGTGCAAAGGGGACTTGTTTCTTCCCCTTTTTGTTCTCTCCCTTCAGCAAGGAAAAGACTGAAAAATAAATCCCTGCCACCTATGAAAGTTGTGGAAGAGTCTACACTGGAGCAAGTTGATGCATGAAGAAGTTGAGACTTCATGAGACACCTAAGGTGAGGCAAAGTCCTGTTGAAGATTTGTTACCCTGAGAGAGACGAGACTTACGCTGGAGCGAAAGACGGCTCAGGTAAGCTTGGGATCTGAGTGAGAAATCTATGCTGCTGCTGCTGGAGATTTGTGACCCTGAAAAAACCCACGTTGGAGCGAAGATGGCTCAGGTGGGATGTTGGGATCCGAGTGTGGAATCCATGCTAGACCCATGCCGAGAGGTCTATCAAGGACTGTTTTTCCATGGGAAGGGACGTTCATAGGGAACAGGGGTGGACTCATAAACCATCATCCCCTGTAACCCTGTGGAAGAAGATCCATGGTAGGCAAGTGTCCCCTTGCAAGCCCATGGAAGAGAAGACCTTTAGGGCCTGGGTAACCCCCCAGCCTCTGGTCTTAGCCTAGGAGGGGGGTAGGTTCAGTCCTGGAAGCCAACAGAGAGAAAAAGAAAGAATTCCAGCTGTGACAAGAGTGCTGCAGAGTTACTGGAGAGAGAGCTAGAACTCCGAGAATGGAGAAAAAGACTGCTTCTCCTCCTTGGACTAATATAAAAGGGAGGAGGAGTATTTCTGTAAATACTTAATACTTTTACTTAAGTAGAATTATTGTAGATATAGTTCTTTAGTAGCTTTTATTTTGATTTTACTAATAATAAATGTTCATATTATTTTCCCTAAATTCAATCTCTTTTGTCTGCATAAACCTTCTCTCAACTAGTGGTAATTTTGTGGGGGGTGTGAAAGCAAACTGACCCAGAGCAAAACCACGACGTACATAAAGAAAGGGAGCCTACAAGAAAGATGGAGAGTGTTTACAAGGGGGAATGGCTTCACACTGACAGAGGGCAGGATTATATTGGATTTTAGGAAGAAATTCTTCCCTGTGAGGGTCATGAGGCCCTGGCACAGGTTCTCAGAGAAGCTGTGGATGCTCCACCCCTGGAAGTGTTCAAGGCCAGGTTGGACAAAGCTCTGAGTAACCTGTTCTAGTGAAAGGTGTCTCTGCCCATGGCAGGGGAGTGGAATGAGGTAATACTTAAGCTACCTTCCAACCCAAACCATTCCGGGATTCTGTGCTTCTATGAAACATCATGAATGTATTGAATAGCATGCACAGTTCTGTCTTACCACCTCATGGGCTGCGAGGTGCTGGAAAAGCCACAGTGAAGATAGCAGGGTGATCCTTTTAGGGCTTCCAAGTAAGGAAAATTTTAAAAGACCAGAAATACTTAACTTTGAAAGCAGACAACTGCAAGAGTAAGAGGCATGGAGAAGGAAAATAGGGACTGGTGCTCATTGTCTCTTCTGATACAGGAATTCAGGGACAGCAAAGGAAATGGTCATGCAGGGGTTTTCACTTCTCTACACAATGCATAGGCTGTGAAATTCTTTACTGTGGAATCTAGAGATGTCAAAGGTTTACAATGGGCTCAGACCCACACCTGGGGTGTTTTACAGCCAGAAAACACAAAAAAAAGGACAGTCAGAATGTAAATTAGTTTTTCTTTTAGCTTTTGTTCCCCAAGACAAAACCTAGGGATTGCCAACATCTGAGCTTCTTTTCACTTTTCAATGCTTGCAAGCAGCTCCACTGCATCCCATGTTCCATAAAGGCTACTTCCAGCTGACAAAAGAAAAAAAACCACCTTTTTTTATTCTGATAAACAAGGCATTTTGCATTTAACAACATGGGCATTCTTGCTTGCATCACTGGCCTTTGATGGTGCCCACAAACCATCCAACTCCTTGGAAGTCACAACTACATGTAGATGGTAAGACTGCTTTCACAGTTATACTACAACTGCCTGATGTCTCCTCTACCTCACCTACCAGCATCCTCTGGCACAGTCAGTGCTCTACGCCATTTTTTGCAACATTTATTTCCTAAGTTATTAAGCTTTAAAAACATTTTACCTTCAACTACTGTCTCCCAGTATTCCATAGCCAGGCACGTGACACCCACGATCCTGCGCTTCAATATTGCCTGGAGTCATTCTCAGCTGCAGAGATCAAGCCCATTTCTGCAGCAGCATGACTGCCTTTTCAGATTTGTATTTCAGAACCTGAAAGTTGTACGGGAATGTGTTCATTGGCCCTTGTAAGAGTGAGGGAAATAAACAATAAAGGAATGAATGAGAGGACTCTCCTGAAAACATGCAAATCATAACTGTCATTTAAGAATCTCCTAATGAAATAGATGCTTGACAGCCTATTCTCATAAGCTATGGAAACTCTGTCCTGGATTGGATCTTGAAATAACCAGTTGTCAAAATCCTACAGGCAGCAGGCAATACCATGTTACCAATCACTTCCCTGGCAAAAGGCTGGGTAGCTGCCCCAAAGGGGACAAGGGATGTTTATGTACTGCAATTGCAACCAAACAAATTAAATTCTTTGATAAACAAAGGGATAATAGAAATAGCAATAATTCAAAGCCAGCTCATCTCCTTTTTGACCTGTCTTTGATTCCAGCAGAATCAGGCTCCCTGATTTGGGGAGCACTTTAAGCTAGACCTGATTTCTGCAGCATAACCATCACCCACGGCACCATGTTCAGCTGGAAACGAAGCCACAGATGTACCTGCCACTTCTCAGTTCTGAAATATGTGTGTATTTCTGAAGGACATCCACTTGTGAAAACCACAATTGGTCAGATCTATCTATCCATTATATTCCTTGACAAATTAAAGTAACAGTCCAGAGCTCTAGTGCATCAATTTAAAAATACATAATTCCCAGTTTAACAGGTTTTAGGCCACTAAAACCCAAAATATGCTTCCTATTTACTGCTCTAATGTATTTAAATGCTATTCCATTTATATCAATTTAATTGGTGTTACACTTTCCACAAAACAGCTACCCTAACTCCTCTTAAATGATGCTGTTTGAAATGACTGATTTTTTCTTAAAAATCAGATAAATCTGTTTATGTGTACAAAACCCCTTATGGCCACTTGCTTAGCTGTTAATGCTTTTTTTTTCCTTTTTGTTTTCTTTTACCTCTGATAGGCTCACAGTTGATGGATGCAGTACAACTGCCATCTAATTAAATTGCTGGAGAGTTTAGCAGCCGATAAATACAGTTTATCAAAAAGCCATCATTCAAGCTCTCACTTAGAGATACTGGTAAGTCCATTAAACCAATGTAAGCAACTTTTAAATAAGACACTTCAGTTCTAGTACATATCCAGAAGATGACTTCCATTTTACTTTATGATAATTTTCAATAGCAGAATATTATATAAGCACAAGCAAAGTAACATTTGGAACAACTAATTCAACAAAAGGAGGTGGCACTGTGCACAGTCTCTCGAAAGCATTTTTAAAAGTATGTTTTCTTCAGTGTAGGCAGCACACTGAGTCACAGCATAAATATAACTGTGCACACATCCCCACTGTCTATTTACACATACAGCAAGATCAGGCTGTGGTACAAGAGCACTAAGGATATTTCTCTTCTGGGTGGTCTCATGTTCACAGGCAGCTGCCCCGTGGCCTTGCAGATTTTCTAGACAGTGGATCTGTGCAACCACTGGTCCCTTTAGTCACAAACTAACCCCAGCTACTCCAGCATTTGTGAAACAAATTCAAACCCATGAAGGGAAATGAATATTCCATTTTTAGGCTCAAGTCTAAATGAATGAATGAATAATGATTTGGGTATTTCAGCTGACCTGGATTCAGTTAGAAATTCAGTCAAGTTATCTGATCTTTAGAAATCACCTGTTCTTTTGATGGTTTAGCTTCAGTATTAAAAATCTGAAAAACTTACAAATTTGGGTTTGTGTTTTAACTTTCATTGATTTTTGCAGCATGGTCAAAATGATACACTCTTGTAAATCAGAGAATAACAACCAGTCTTATTCTGTAATTACATGACCATAAAGAGAAACATAAATGCAATACCATACCTCTACTTTAGTTTTTAACCTATTTGTCGTTCATTGTTTGTAGATCACTCAAGACTAATAAATTCTGAGCCAAACAGTTTTCATAAGTAAAATTTTAGCCACAAAGTGAATTCATTGATTTTCTCCATTTTTGCATTACTGCACACAAAAGCACCAAAAGCCCAGAAAAACCCCACAAAAATTACCAATGCATTCCTTACAGGCACTTGAGACAATATTGCTGCAAATTGCTGACTTCAGTATTCCAGCAGTGTTTCAGGCTCTAGTTTGAATGAGTTAAAGTTTCTCATATTACAATTCCACAGTACCGAATTTCTATGCAACGAAATCCTATATAGTCACAAAGCCCTCTGTCTTATTGGAGCCATACATAAAAAATGGAGTACCTTCACTGTTACCCTAAGTCATTTATTTATTTTTTCATAAAATGCCAGCCTTAAATGTTTTATGACATCAGCCAGCAAAGGCAAGCCACTTACACCATATATTCAAACAGAAAAAGTGCAGTTCCATCAAACATACCTCCACAAGCCTGCTGGTGTGTTCTTGAAATATAGCAGCATATTCCTTTATTTCTTTCTCTCTTCCATTTTTAGCAGCTTCAATGAGAACTAGAAGTGGAACAGTGGTATCTAAGAAGGAGTCTGAGATGTGATCTATAATGGCTTTACGGAGCTGCAAAAGAAAGCATCACATTAGTACCTGCTAACTGGCTATTTGTTAAAGTCTGTTATAATTACTGGCCATTAATATTTTATAACATAAACATGTACACACTGTACTCCTGCTTTATTTGCAAGATTGTGTGTCTGAAACCTACTGCAGCTGCAATTTATCTATTACACAGAAAACTGTATTTAATTTTAGTGACAATTTTCATATACCACTAGCTAAATATGCATGTTTGCAAGTGTGAATGTCTGTGTGTGAGTACAGATACATAAACCACTTAGAACATATACTACTTTTGTTGAAATCAAGGGAGCCAAACAAATATTCACCTTCCCTGATGAATAGAATAGACTACTTACATGATTTCACATGTGAAAAATTAGTTAGACCAGATCTCATGTCTCCTGGGTATTGTCCCTTGTAACTCAGATGCCAAGGGAGAAGTCTATTTAATTTTACAAGGAAAATATTAATATAATTATGTCTGCACTCCCAAAATAGTCTCCATCACACGTTTTCATAATTGTAAAATTACCCACATATTTTCTTGTTGGGAAATCCAACAACACAGTCTGATTTGCAAGATAGTTGCCTTCACGGTAATTATGCCAATGAGATTACTGATTATGCCACCTGATAAAGTACTAATAGAGCAAGAAGAACTATAAATGAGTCTGCAGTTCAATTTTCTCTGCTTAAATTAATTGTTCTTGAACTTTTTACTTAAATTATTAACGAAGTGTAACATTCTGCCACAAATTATCTCCTTTAAATTAGGTTGCACATAAGCTTATAACTGATCTCTGGGACGTTACTGCATTTAAGGGGTTATTCTGCATGTTATAAACCTATACACTACAATTATTCCTTTTAATCATTAAACACTCAACCAGTTGTAGCAACACATGCAGTGCAACTAAATTATCAAGTTAACTGAATTTTCCTACTGCAAAGATGTTGCTTTTACAGTATATAGAAAAGATATTGATTGGAACAGAAAAGGAAACTAAATGTTTTGAAGCTCTTACAGGTTGACAGGGTTGTTGCCCAAGTAGATGTTTTCTCTTAGAAGTTTGCCCCAATGCATCTGTGTGAAAAGTCAGTAGAAGTAAAGGCTCCTACCACTAGAAAAATGCAAAAAACACATCTTTTTGATACTGTTGTGCTTGTAGGTAGGGCAGTGACCACGCACAGCAGAAATAATAGTAGAGAAGTCTGTTGATTATGAGGACAAGATCTGGATATGAATTCCACTACTAGCTTTGGGATAACCTCACTATCTATATCTCTCATTGACTCACCAGGGGGACAGACAAATCTTCCAAAAAAACACAAGTTTAGAATGGTTTCTTTGTCTTCTAACTTACTGTATCTATCCCATTGGGATATACTATCTGCATATATTATATGTTCTGAAAAGGAATTCAGAAAGAGAAAGTCTATGTGATTCCAATAAAAAATTGGATTTTTTACATTCTCAGCTTCATGCTGGCTGGAATTTAAAAAAAAAAAAAAAAAAAAAAAAAAAAAAAAAAAAAAAAAAAAAAAAAAAAAAAAAAAAAAAAAAAAAAAAAAAAAAAAGTATTAAAAAGTTTTGAAAACTTTCACTAGCAGGAACAAATATGTTGAACCTCCAGCCCTGGTAAGTTACCTGTTAAAATTTTTCTGCTGAAGAAAAAAAGACATTTTTTTCCTGTTTAAAATTAAGTACATGAATGTGACCTCGATGAATCACAGTTTAAAACTTAAGATTTCACTTTAAAACAAAAAGCTAGGGAACCATTATATTCATGGCTGATGATTCATTATCTCCAAGAGAAATATTTTTTGGTTCTGCACAGCCCAGGCTGTAGGACTTTCACAGCCTTAGCGTATTATTTGAGGACCAGTGACTGTAATAACCTCAGTCACATTTGTGGTGAGCTTGAGGCATCCAATTTCAAACCAGTAGCCTAATTTTATCTCTCATTGCATAATTCTTTGCTATCGCTTTTTACTAGTTTGCTTGGTTTAATTAACCTTTCACATATAAATTATCATTATTATTTTGTTCTAAGAAATATATGAAGCTGAGATTTTCAAAGGATGGCTTGTGTAGCATTACAGAACCGAGAAACACAATGTAGAACAAAAGAGGGAAAAGACAAAAGAAAAAAAGGAATATCTGAAGCAATATCTATTTCTTTTCATCCTAAGCATAACAATCACTGTTTTCATGACTCAGTAAGTCTGACTCTGGCCACCTCTAGAGCAAAATGCTAAAAGCAAATCAGATAGGGAGGCTTATAAACAGACAAAGGACAGCAGCAACAGTGCTGGCAGGCAATGCTAGGGAAGTTATTGGGCTATAATTAAAACTTTTCTCATATCATAACTGAAAGAGACACCATCACAAGAGGGAAAGCAGGGGAGCATGATGCCTGACAAACTGTTTTATTTTTAAGATGCAAGGTCTTCTTCTTATTCTTTGAGCAGACTGTTACAGAAGCAGAGGCATGGGGAATTTTTGTTTTGATATCAAAGTGCATTATAAAATAATACAGAAACATGTTGTTTATAAAACATGGGGCATAAGGTTGTTAAAAGCAGGGGAAGGTAGAGAAGAAAATGCCAGCAGCTGTTTACAACACTATTAAACATCAGTATTCTGATGAGTACAGAAAACTGTGTTTGCCTCTATTTGCCTTCTGCCTCAAAAGACCAGCCTGGCAAAAGTCCTGGACAAACCACAGATTAGTTATTATTGAGGGATCTCTCTTTCCCGTCTCTAAGTGGTGCCAGGAAGGCAATCTCCTTTGTGTTGAGAAAAAGCTATCCATGATGAAGTAGCAGCATAGAAATATAAGAATATCCTGAGGAATAACATTTATAAAAACAACCAAGCAGCCAACACTGCAGAACAACCATAGGAGAAACATCTGCGCAGCCCATTCACGCTACACTGGGAAACAACTGGGAGGCAAGAACCGAGTATGGTAATTTTCCATAATTAGAAATTAGAATGAATAGGAAATTCCTTCTTAAATATTCATACAGCTCTACAAGGAAGGAACAGTGACCTAGGCAAAACTACACACACAGAAATGGCATGCACAGCTCTGGCACAAAACAAGGAAAAATCAAAACAATGCAGAATAGCTTAAAATCCCCACAAGTTGCGGCCAAGTTCTTGAAGTGAATGCAAATCACTTCCTTTGAAAGCCAGAGACCTTTGACAACTTCCAGGATAAACTACTATTGAGATGGCTACCTTTGCCTTCAGGTCTTGCCAGACATCAGACTTCTTTCACTTCCTGAGGTCTACAAAGGTGTTCCAAAGGGGGCCATGGCACAACCCACAATCAGGCTGGTGCCTGGGCCAGTATCTGTGTGACAGTTCTGTTTAAAGAGTGCTACTGAAGAGACTTCAAAGATGAAAGTTTATAAGGTTTCGTGTTTAACCCCAATTTTGCAGAGGCAATGCCAGCAATGACTGAAAGCAGAGTGCAACACCATAGGCCCAAATCCACTGTAAGTGACTGATGGAATAGCAGAGAAAGTACACAGTATTATTTTTTTTAAAAGGATTATAAAAGCTATAAAAGAGTAGAGCAAACAACAATTTTCATGTTTCTTATAAAATTGCTGGGAGATAAAATAATGAATGTTCATAAGTGAAAGCAAATAAGACTCTATGGCAATATCTGCTGGCACAGAACTCCCAATTTCACGTTTCCCAGATCAGGAATTAAGCCTGGAGTAGGCACCATTCCTAAAACAATTTTTATGCAATTCACAAGTATGAACATAAAACGGGAGATAGATGAAATATTTCTCATAAATACTTTCCAGTGGAAAATGTCAAGAAGCCACAGAGCTATTCTGGTTAGAGAAGATTACTGGTTCTAGATTGGCTATAAATTGGGCATAATTACATTCAACCTGAACATTTTCCAAAGGTTTACAGAAAGACACGAATTAGTTAACAGCTTTTAACCACTGTAATAGGGTCTATAAACTCCTATAAGATGGAGTTTCATTAACTCATGGAAGAGATTGTAGGACAGAATGGGATTGTTCCTAGACACACTGGGCTTGTGATGCAAGTTGCCAGCTCTCTTAACTGAACATATTTTCGACAGAATGTAAGCAGAAATCAGATAGCTAGTTAGTAACAAATATATAAATATACATTTATATGATATTCTTCTCATCTTTTTGTTCCAACAACCGATAATAGTTCAAGCTTATCTAAAACAAAAATAATCTCGAATAATTACTGATATATATCTATAGAAAATATATATTTAGAAATGTGTGCATGCAGAAATTTGCCTATGTACAAATATATATTCAGCCAGAATAACTTGGATTTTTCCCAGAGTTTTGAAAACTTGTATGTATATATCTCACAGAACAGGGCAACTATCTTCAGTATTTTTTTAATATGATAAAAAAAAATCTTTGTTTTCAACGTGCATAAACTGAAAACAGCAATTTTGAAAGGCACCCTTCAAGACCCTTTTCTACTTCTTCCTTTCCCCAGGTTGCTCACCTGTCTGCGAAGGTCTCTTGTCTTCTTGCACATACTGTCTATGGCAACATTCAAGGCATTACTTCTCTCTTTCTTGTCAGTCTGTAATAAATGGAAAAGAAAACACAAAAATGGTTAATTGGGCTTTCTTAGCAAGCATGTCCTTTGTGCCCTCAGTTCATCAGAGTATTTGGTAAATCATACATGTGCACAGATTTTTCAAATTTTAATATGTTTCAAGAGCCAATATTCATGGGATGCCAACTTGTGGTGCTAAGCATAATTTGCTGAACAAAAACTTATGCTTTAGTAGCAGTGTATGGGAACAAAATTAAAAACGTTTCAACTTCTGAATTGCTGTAATACTCTTAGTATAATCCAGGGTTACTTGCAGAACAACATTAATATAATTATTATTAATATTATTAATATTGCTGTCAAACCATTATCACCACATTCATGTGAAAAACAATGTTATCTCTCTACAGACAACTTATAAATTCAGATGCCCACAATGCAGTTTGGTAATGCTTTAGTCTGCAGCATTCATTATTTAACTCCCGTAAAACAGAAGGGGTGAGTTTCAAAACGTTCAAGGTGTTGCAGTGAAATTATGTTGTTTCATTGCTCATGAAAAGGCATTTCTTCATTTAACAGCACATTCATTCTCAGCATCCAGAAGACTGAGTTCTTGAGATATTTGAGAGGTCTTAAGAGAATCAGTTGTACACTTCCAAAACAATCTCATTTTTTTTTTCATTTCTACCTATAGGCAAAGTGCTTATGTTATCATTGTTAGCTATTTGAAAAGTGCAGTTAACACTTTTATTGGACTGCCCAGAATATTTTCTGTACAATATCATCATAATATCTCTGTGTCTACTAGCTGGTTGGAATATTTTTTCCCTGTTAGTAAAGAAACTACAGGAAAAACCAAAATGTCTGATGAAGTTTGTTGTTTGTTTCCCTAAAGCAAACAACCACTACTCACTACCTTTGGACTGCCCTGATCTGAAGGAAATAACCACAAGCAATGAATGTGTCTTTACACAAAGCCTTAAGTCAGCACACATGACATTTACAGCAAAAAGCACCAGATTCTCATAAACGTTGAAGAAATAACTATGTATACCGACCACAATATTTGGACTTCAGGTAGAGTACACCAGGATGTCTATATTATGAACATGACTACTTTGTTTTGTAAATAATATTGAAATTAATATAGAATTTATAATATCTCAGTAAGCATCTTGTTGTGTCAGCTTGATCTGTCTACCACATAACAAGGCACCTTGTTATCTACAATAAATCTTACTTCAGTCAGAGTTATTTCCTTGCTAAAAAAGAAAAACAAAACCAAAACATAATCTGTTAACAGAGCAATATGCTTAATATCAAAGCAAAGACTAGAGATGATGAGGAAAAAACCTTTACATTAAAAATGAACGTGCAATGTAATAAAATGAATGCCTTGAAATTATTAGTCTGAAAGGAACAACCACTTTAAAAATTGAGCTTAAATATATTCAGTGGGACTTAGAAGTTCTCCCATGATTTTCTATTTCTGAAATTGCTCACAGTCATTGCAGGAAACAGATGATCAAACACAGGTCTTGGAGAAAGGCCTGCGCTTCACCTTAAAACCTTCGAGGAATCCCTAAACATAGATATTCACTTTTTGTATCACAGTAGTGCAATCGGTTCTCACACCAAAGCTTGCATAGCCACCAAAGCAAATTATGACTTCTCTACTATGTTTTTTAAATTACTGTCAAACTTGATAACAAAACTGACTCCTTTAAAACTACTAGGTAAACAGGGCCAGTAAAAGCACAGTGGATACAACTCAGTTTATGGCTATGAATTTTCAGACTACAAAGATGCACTGGCACATCCTCTGAAAGCTTTATAGTTAGAGCCTATTTTCTACCAAGACAGAATCGGTGTAAAATACTGGGATTTTTTTAATTTTTTTAAGGGCTCTAGTAATGTGTAACTTCAAAAGTTGGCAACTAATGATACAACTGGCTCTAAGCAAACCTAAACCTAAACCACTCAGGCAATGAGTGGCATGTATTGAACAGTCATCACATCATGCCTGGGCTTCATGAACGAAGATTTGAGAAGGGCTCTACCCACGCTTGCTACAAGCACGCTGATGGCTAAAAAGGCCAATGCGAGACAGACAAGTCCAGTTGCAGAAGGCACAGCAGAAAGACTCCCCAGGTGGTATCGACAAGACGCGACTCTTTCTGCATTGTCTTTTCTCCTCGAGAGTGATCCTGCAGGTGTTCTCAAAAGAAGCAGCAGCATTATAGATGGTGTGTCTCCAGGTCTCCTGATTGGAGGCCAGGGTAGACCAGTGGTGGTGATCAATATGGTCAAGGTTGAGGGATTGTTTCAGGCAGTCCTTGTATCTCCTCTTTGGGACACCTCTCTTGTGGCAGCCAGTGGCAAGTTCCCCATAGAGCACAATCTTAGGAAGGCAGTAGTCCTGCATCCTGGAGACGTGCCCTGCCCAGTGCAGCTGTGTTCTCAGCAGCATGGCCTCAATGCTCGTGACTGCTCTCGCTTCATGAGGACCAGCGCGGTCAAGTCAGATATGGCAATGCACTTTCTGAGCCCTTTCCAATAACCAATGGTGTGAAGCAAGGCTGCGTTCTTGCACCAACTTTATTCACAGTCTTCTTCAGCATGATGCTCCAAAGGGCCACGGCAGACCTCGATAATGAAAACGGTATCTACATTCGACATTGTACCGATGGGAACCTATTCAACCTAAGGCAACTGAAGGTCCACACTAAGACCTTAAATCATCTTGTCCGTGAGCTGCTTTACGCTGACGATGCCACCCTCATTGCCCACACAGAAATAGCTCTGCAGTGTTTGACATCCTGCTTTGCAGAGGCTGCTGAGCTTTTTGGGCTGGAAGTCAGTTTGAAGAAAACAGAAGTTTTCTATCAGCCTGCTCCTCAGGAAGTCTCCCATCATCCCCATATCACCACTGGTGAAACAGAGCTCAGATCAGTCCAGCAGTTTAATTACCTGGGAAGCATCATCTCCTCGGACGGTAAGATTGATGAAGAAATAGACAACAGGTTAGCAAGGGCATAAAGAGCTTTTGGTAAACTCCATAAAAGAGTGTGGCAAAACAAATACCTGAAGAAAAGCACAAAGATCAGCATTTACAGAGCCATTGTACTGTCCACTCTTTTATATGGGTCTGAATCATGGGTCATTTACCAGCACCACTTGCGTTTCTTAGAACGCTTCCATCAGCGCTGCCTCCATACAATCCTAAACGTTGAACAGTAAAAAAGTAAAAAAAATTATTTTCTTTGCAAATTCTTTACATTGCCAATGTCTAGAAAGCAAATCTAACTATAACTTAAGTTATTCTTCACCTAGTGTTTTTCCCAAGAGCTAAATAAGCTGTAAAATGCAGCTTCAGGCTGTAGAACGTGGACATTTCCAGAATGCAGGTAAACCTCATAACTGTAGGCTCTCATTCTTCTTCAAAGAAAGTTAAACAGCAAAAAACCCACGCTACTGTTTGCATAAATCCTGCTTATAAAAACTTTGGAATTTCTAAACTGTGTACAGTCTTTTGAAGTCAGAGGGGCACCTGACTACAAAGTCTCCTGTGGGAACACTCCTAAACATCAATGGCCTCATGCTGTGTTCTCCAATCGCCCATTGGCCCCAAGCACCTTTGGATGCTGAATTACCCCTTCAAGTTTTCATTCTTCTGCACACTTCCAACTCAGATCTGCAATGACAGTTACAGTTCAAGATCTACACTAGATGATTACACTTTGTAAAAACTGAAAAAGACCAGATTTCGTATTTTTAAAGTATCTATTAAAATTATGTCATAGTGGAACTAAAGGTGATCCGAACACCTCTCCACTGTTCCACTCTCCAGTGATGGAGCTCACAGGTCTGTATTTGCAATATTCTGCATCTGCTTGTCTATTAACATTCTTTTCATGACTGCTGTACTTCAGAACAAGCAAGTCTATCCTGAAATAGTTCCTTCTTGTGCAGGGTGACTGAATTAGGAAAAGGGGTAGGAAAATTATGCACATTATTCTGGGCCTGGATTTTGAAATTCAGGCAGTTGAGCTCTCTGCTTTCAGTTCTCCTGCATTCACCTCCTATTTTTTTCTGTTAAATATATGTAATAGCAGCAATATGGCTCCCTTGTAAAGGTCCTAAAAACAATATCCAGCTCCTATTATAATGCATTTTTAAAATCTGAAACATTTTACAAGCACTAAGTCCCACTCTTATTAATATTCCACTAAGTGAAAATAAGTATTTTTAATTAACACTGGATAGCCTGAAGATAATGCTGGGTATTGCCAATAATAATACAGGCCTATCTATTTCACACACTGGCAAACAACATTATTGAATGACTGAAAAACCACATGTGCAGAAAATCTTTCCTGCTCGATTTTCATTTAAAACAATCCATATCTAAGGGCAGATTCTCAACTGAAACACAGGACTATCTCCCCATTGTGTTTAATGGAGTTCATTTAAATCATGATATGGTCAGGACTATTTAAATTATCATCTAATTTCTTCTAGTACTGAGGCCAATAGACATGAACTAAATTTATAAACACTTACATAAAAAAGGATATATAAGAGGATACAATGAGCCATAAGTATTAAAACAGCAAATACTATTAGTATTCATTAAATCATTCAATGAACACTCCCACTTTAGCCATAACCCAGAATGCAGATACAACATAGAACTGGAGTACTCTCAGTAGCAGGACTAAACCAAACAAGTCAAATGGAGCCAGTTTATTTGGGTATGTATTGGTGATAAAGTATTCACAAGGATTTACTGAAACCTTGCAAGACACTACTCCTTAGGGAAATCACTTTTGCATCCTCTCTGAAGGTCCTGAGCCTCTACTTGATATAGAGGGTGGGGAGAGAGAATTAATTTGGTAGGTTGAGGTTTTGCTTTGTAAATAGTCCCTCAAAATACCCATATTTAAAAACAAAAAAACCACACAAGCCCCCCCCCCCCCCCCAACTAAACAAAAACCAAAAAGGAAAACAAACTTTTAAAAGTA